TTTGTAGGGGAGTGGTATGAATCTAGGTAACTTACTCTACATGTAGAAATATCCAGTCCTATAGGACTGGCAGTGTAAATTCCTATAAGAATTGTATAGTCCTATAAGACTTATGATCTCACACACCAGTCCTATAGGACTGGCAGTGTAAAGTCCTATAGGAATTGTATAGTCCTATAGGACTTATGATCTCACACACCTGTCCTATAGGACTGGCAGTGTAAAGTCCTATAGGAATTGTATAGTCCTATAGAACTTACGATCTCACACACCTGTCCTATAGGACGGGCAGTGTAAAGTCCTATAGGAATTGTATAGTCCTATAGAACGTATGATCTCACACACCAGTCCTATAGGACTGGCAATGTAAAGTCCTATAGGACTTATTAATTCCTATAGGAATTTACATAAAATCCTATAGAACTATACATGTCCTATAGGATTTCATGAAAAGTCCTATAGGATTTTTTAAAATCTTATAAGATTTTAAAAATCCTATAGGAAACTTTTGTAAGGGCCTGATTAGTTTTAATTGGATATTAATTACCTAATTTGCATAATGTTCCACTGATATATAAAGAACCACAAATTGGATTTTAATGAAACTTTTAAAGAGAACTATGCAGAAACCCAATTAGTTTTTGGTAAATATTTATGCTTATTAATCTCCTAATTAACATACTTAATTAACACTGATATCTCAATTACTGATCATCACATTTGAGTAAAATTTGGTACCTAAATGCTCTAGAACAATAGACAGGCCTGATTAATTTTGGGTTAAAATTTGTTCATATTAATTCTCTAATTAGCATAATAATTCATAATTGTTTTGTTCTGTTCTGTTATATTAGTTACCTGATTTACATAATTAGTTTTCAGCTTTTCCATCAATATCTCATGTACAAGTAATTTTGAATTAATTTTTAATGTGTCTTCAATACTCTCTCAGCACACGGGAGTTCTTTCTAAGCTTTCTTTGATTTACAATTCTTATCTGTTCTCAAAGACACTTTCACAGATTTTGTTTAAATTTGGTACAAAAGCAAGACATAATGTGTTGTATGTTATTTTTGGATTTTAATGTTATTTAGCCAAAACATATGTCATCAACCATTTCTCAAGCGTGCCAAGGACAATTTTATTCAAATTTGGTATGAACATCACACATGATGGGTAACTGATACACATCAGTTTTGTATTATGATTTGATTTAACATGGCCAACTAGCGTTCATTTCAGTTTTCGTTTTAAGTCTCTTCAACCATGACATTTCTTGATAGACATAATTTTGTGTTCGTCAGATACAACAGCTATCGCTATCACAACATCTTGAATGTCTGTAAAGCAGGAAATTTTCAACAATAGAATTTTTCCCCATTTGATAATTGCATTAATGAAGATGAAATTTCGTCAAGAACCTGGTGAAATATTCACTCCAAAAATCATAAAAAATTGTCTGTTTTCCATGGAAACAAGTCTAGCTAGCTTGTTTTCTAGATTTCAAACCTTTATTGTGGCTCAGTTTTTAAAATACCAACAAATATTGTTTGGGATACTAGTACATGTTTTGTCAATTAAATTATTTTCTGCCATTCTTCTATTTTATAGGAATTCCTGTTGTGACTTGGACTTACTTGGCTGAAACAGCTCCAGCTGGAGCAACTCAGATGAAATTGATGCAAGAGGTTACTTGGCAAGTTGGTGATGAAATTGTTATCGCTACGACGAATCACAGGCATAGCATGATTGAAAATGAGCAGCTGACCATTACAGGTGAGGACCCTGGCATAAAGCTTTTTATTAGTGAGTCAAAATGCTCAGAATGCAATGATATGTTAAAATGGAAGATTGCAACCATACAGGATAGATCAAAGGTTGTTCAAAAACTGATATTTAAATGATATTAATACATGTGAATATCAGTTCCCAAAATATCTGTCATAGATGACAGAGCGAAGCTGTTCGTCTGTTAACAATTGCATTCTTAACTTCTTCTTGAAAACTACCAGATCAATTGTTTTGATACTTAGTATGTAGGTACCTTTTGTGTACCTTTGTCAGATTTGTTCATTTCACGATTATATCTTAATTTCTCTATTTTGGCAAACATTTTTTTATTTGTGGTAAAAAATTAAATTTTCAGCATCTTCTTGAAAACTACCAGCTCAGTTGCTTTGATACTTGGTATGTAGGTAGTTTGGATGATCCTCTGTCAGATTTGTTTATTTCACCTGTTTGTTGTTAGCAAGTGCTGTAAGGTACAGCAAATTGATAATGAAAAAATGCATGCATTTATACAAAGATAAACATTACATAACATTGTGCGTCTTTGTGGTCATCAATCATTCTTCCTCGAACATGTCTTGATCGATTTGCTTGGAATATCATTCTGCATTTTAGCTTTTTTACATATAAATTACTATTTCCATAATGTTTTGTATCATCAACAGTATTCTCTAATGGATTTAAAGTGATAATAGACTGCAATTAGCTTATTTGCATACTAATTACGTGTATCTGTTGAGTTTTTTTTCTGTATCACACCAATACAAGAAAAAGATTATTCATATACATCCCTCGACTAGAAAAATTCTTATTTTTGTTTTAAATAACCAGCTCAATTAATTTTCGTAGTTAACAATTAATTAACACTCATGAGCTGATTCAGTTCATGTCTGGTTGTTTGGAAGAATTCTTCGAAATTGAGCATTTCTGCCATTCCTGAACCCGATGTTGTATATGTATGGACTTTTGGTACATGTACATTCATAGAACATCTTAGATGAAACCTTGAAATGGCTGACTGGTGGTCATTTTGTTTTTGAATGTATTTACATGACTGGTTCTAATATGCAACTATTAGCCCCCAACTGAACACAGTTTGAGGACTTATGTTTCCATCCATTCGTCCATCTGTTGCATTATCTCATATTTTTGTTAATTTTTTGCTTGAGAATACAATTACTAAGTTTATTCAGATTTGGTACAGAGGCAGTATATATTTCATGAAGATGCAAGTTGATTTTCGTAAGATTCTATGCAATATGGCAATATGGCTGATCAGCAGCCATTTTGTTTGATGAGTAATTTTCATTTTCTTTGTGCACAATTCTGCTTATATCTCAAATTCACACTGTCCAATTACATCCAAACTTGTTTCATAGACAATTGTGTTCTAGCACATCAAGGAAAGTTGATTATGTCACAATCAAATTTAAGATGACAAAAATCTACAATAAGTCCAAACTTAGTTCAGACAAATGTGTGCTAGCACATAAACGAAAATCAGCATTTTGTTCTTTTTGTTTGCACCTTTCTGCTGATATCTCAAATTTAAGCTGTCCAATTAGGTTGAAACTTGACAATTCACAGACAATTGTTTTCTGGCATATTAACAAAAGTTGATTTGTATTTCACTCCAATTCCAGATTGTTGACTTGCACAATTACAAATCATCATTCATTGTGAGATATATCACCAAATCAAACACAACTCTGCCATTCATAAAGAATGTCTGCTCTTGCAATCTTACATAACTATCCAACAATGCACTATAATTTGGAGTAATTTTTATTGCAATATATGTTTTACTTTTTGCCAACATTGGAAACTCACTCATGTTAAAATGTCTGGCTGTCATTAGTTCAGTGTAAAACTGATACATGCACTTAATCAAAAAAGGACCACATAAATGCTGACATTTCATTCATCATGTATTAAATTAAAAGTATAAGAAGTGGGGGCTGTGACATTCTCAATAGCTTGTTCATTAATTAATTCATTCATTCAAAAATATTTATTTATTTATTTATTTATTTATTTATTTATTTATTTATTTATTTATTTATTTATTTATTTATTTATTTATTTATTTATTTATTTATTTATTTATTTATTTATTTATTTATTTATTTATTTATTTATTTATTTATTTATTT